AAGAGACTGAATGCGGTGGCTCATGCCTGTAATCCCAGCACTTTGGGAGGTGGAGGCAAGAGGATTGCCTGAGCTCAGGGGTTCGAGACCAGCCTGGGCAACGTGGCAAGACCTCATCTTTGCAATAAATCAAAAAATTAGCTGGGCATGGTGGCTCATGCCTGTGGTTCCAGCTACTTGGACTTGGAAGGCTGAGGCGGAAGGATCACCTGAGCCTAGAAGGTCAAAGGTGAGGTGGCTATGAGCGTGCCACTGTACTCCAGCCTGGGTGACAGAGTGAGACTTCGACTCAAAAAAAAAAAAAAAAGAAACGAAGAAATAAAATGTTCAAGAAGGGTCAATAGCGTCAACACTGTTGAGAGATCAAGTGAGTTAAGGACTGAGAAGTACCCAGAGAATCTGAGCAGTGAGGAGGTCACAGGAGACCATGGAAGGGAGAGCACGAGTGGAGGATGGAAGCAGCACCTAGTTATGGTGGCTTGAAGAGTGCACAGAAAGAAGTTGGGGCAGTGAGTAAGCAAACTGTGCCAAAAACTGTGGGAAACAGGAATTAGAGGCCAGGCACGGTGGTTCACGCCTGTAATCCCAGCACTTTGGGAGGCTGTGGTCAGAGGATCACCTGAGCCTAGGAGTTCAAGGTTACAATGAGCTGTCATTGCACACTACACTCCAGTCTGGGGAACACAGTGAGACCCTGTCTCTAAAAATAAAGAAATAGCCGGGCTCAGTGGCTCAGCCTGTAATCCCGCACCTTTGGGAGGCTGAGGTGAGTGGATTGCCTGAGCCTGAGGGTTCCAGACCCGCCTGGGCAGCGAGACCTCATCTCTACAATAAATCAAAAAATCAGCCGGGCGTGGTAGCACATGCCTGTAATTCCGGCTACTCGGAAGGCTGAGGCAGAAGGATCGCCGGAGCCCAGCAGGTCGAGGCTGCGGTGGCCGGGAGCGGCCGCTGCACTCCTGTCTGGGCCACAGAGTGAGACTTCAACTCAAAAAATATATAAATAAATAAATAAAAATAAAAAATAAAAATATAGAAATAAAAGAAAAGGGAAGAAGACATGCAGTGACAGCTATTTAATGGTTGTTTTCAGAGATGAGAGAAAGCTGAACACCTTTCATTGCTGCTGAAAGGAGCCATTTACATTAGAGGCAGGGGTCAGGCCCACAGACCCTTGTCTCTAAGAAAAGAAGGATGTCTTCCTTACTTTAAAGGGAAAGAAGGATGGTTGTCAGTACAGAAAAGGTACTGCTTTGGTGGCTGGAGATTGACAAATCCCATGGCTTCTTTTCTCTTTGAAGTGGATGAGGTCCTCTGCTAAGGGCTGGAAAGTAACAGGATTGGAGGGGAATTAACGCTCTCTAGGGACAAAAAGGTCGCCAGTCAGTGCTAGGGACTCATTGTATGTATCACCAGCCTGGTTTTTTTTCTTTTCTTTTTCTTTCTGGTAGAACTCAACAACCAGGTGTGCAAAAAGAAGACAGCTCCATGGTGCCCCCAGTCCAGTTGAACTGAAATACGTGATATTTCCCATTCTTGAAATTTCATCCTAATTCTACTCTCTTGAAAGTGAGCACTTTCCAGTACTTTCAGAAGTAGTCCCATAATGTTCAACATCTGCTGTGCTTTTGAGAAGTTCTTCTGTATTCTTGGAGCTCCATTCTCACCCCATGTCACTCCTTAAACTCTCTCTCCTCCTTCTTTTTTGCCATCTTTGTGGCACTTACGTCCTGTGTGTCATTATTGCTGTATCCATCAACCTCCCACCTCCTCTAGGAGAGAATTCTAATGTTTAGAGCACCTAGTGGGTATCAGACATTTCCGGTTGTTTTCACTCAGTGAAATCACATACAGCCCCATGACACAGGGGAGGAGAGATATTGTCCCTACTCTTACAGATGAGGATGTTGGAGCTAGGAGAACCTAAGGTCACATGGCCACTAAGTGACCAAGTGGGGATTGGATCCCAGTCTGTCTGACTCCAAAACCCATTACTCTCTGCTATAAGTGCCCAAGGAGCAAGCAACCTTCTGATTCATCACTACAAACCTCATGGGAACTCACACGGTACTGTGCGCATACAAGATGCTTGATAAATGTTAGTGACCGGAACTACGACCTAACCCCCTGAATATCTTTAGTGTTCTGGCATTTTAGTGTGTTCTCAACTTTCTCTAAGTAGCCATACCATTCTGCTTGGTTTAAAAAAAAAAAAGCTGGGCTCAGTGGCTCAGCTTGTAATCCTGCGCTTTGGGAGGCTGAGGTGAGTAGATTGCCTGAGCCTGCGGGTTCGAGACCCGCCTGGGCAACTTGGTGAGACCTCATCTCTACAATAAATCAAAAATCAGTCGGGCGTGGTAGCGTGTGCCTGTAGTTCCAGCTACTCGGAAGGCTGAGGTGGAAGGATCGCCGGAGCCCAGCAGGTCGAGGCTGCGGTGGCCGGGAGCGGCCACTGCACTCCAGTCTGGGCAACAGAGTGAGACTCCAACACACACACACAAAAAAAAGGCCAGGCACAGTGGCTCATACCTGTAATCCCAGCACTTTGGGAGACCATGGTGAGATTGCCTGAGCCCACGAGTTTGAGACCAGCCTAGGAAACTTGGTGAGACCTCATCTCTACAATAAATCAAAAAATTAGCCAGGCGTGGTGGCATGTGTCTGTGGTTCCAAGCTACTTGGAAGGCTGTGGCAGAAGGATCACCTGAGCCTAGCAGATAGAGGCTGCAGTGGCCAGGACCGTGCCACTGCTTTGCAGCCTACTCAAAAAAAAAAAAAATACTCCTTGGATTCAGCAATGGCATCAAACATGCTAAGTTTACAATATAGACAGGATAGCTGGGCTTGGTGGCTCAGCCTGTAATCCCGCACCTTTGGGAGGCTGAGGTGAGTGGATGGCCTGAGCCCACGTGTTCGAGACCCCCCTGGGCAACTTGATGAGACCTCATCTCTACAATAAATCAAACATTAGCCGGGTGTGGTAGGGCGTTCCTGTAGTTCCCGCTACTTGGAAGCTGAGGCGGAAGGATCACCGGAGCCCAGCAGG